TATACAGAGACATGTACACATATTTTAATGACTAATTAATTTGTATGAGGTGTTTGTTAGCAGTGAGTTATTTGTACTGTTTTTCACTCGCTGTTATGTATTGCATATAAACTGTAGAGCTAAAAGCATGTAGTATCTGCTATGTCTTCAATTAAAAAAAATTAAGTGGTGATTAACAGTAGAGTTATTTCATAAACTAGAATAAAAATACTCTATAAAATACAGAATTTTTATGGCTGTATTACTGTGTGCACTGTATATAAATAAATGATCACATCTCATGATAAAGTGTATCAGCTAAAATGTATGTAAATGATGTCCTCTAGTGTACACTGTAATTTTAATACTTATATATTATTATATGTAAGTAAAATACTTTTTATTAGAAGATAAAATAGTTCTAAATATACTACACTTAGAAATATATCACCCAATCAGTACACATCTGGTATGGTTATACCCAACCCCTAACTCCCGCAGACTGGCTGCCGCCGAAAAAAAAACCCCCCGGGGGCCCCCCCGGGGGGGGGGGGGGGGGGGGGGGAAACACAGCCCTAGCCCCTCCCAAAAGCCCTCTGCCCAGCCCCCGACACACCAGAGCAAGCACACAGGTGAGAGAAGAAAAATTTAAAAGTTTATTAAACATTAACAGACCAAAAAAAAAAACCTGGGGCTGAACAGCATACAGGATGCAATCCATTTCATGTCATACAGTTAATTTGATCTTATTTGTTAAACTTGTATTTAAACAGATGCTGTCTTGTGGTGTTGCCAGAAATACGATGGTTGATCACTTGTAAGTTTTAATACACTTTTTTTTTTCTTCACATAAAAAAAATTCAACAAAATAATAATAAGCTGCACATCTCTATTGCAAATGACATGCAAAACCAGTTTTAAAGCAGTAATTGGGTTATTACAAACCCACAGAGGCAAGACATTCAAATGCCGGGGCTCCTTCGGCACCGCTGAAAGCGTCCCCGCTTGCACGTGCAGTTGCAGAGCGCGTTTGTGCCGGTCCGTGTGCAAGGACTGTGTCAAGCACAAAGCCTCGCTCAGGCGCCGTCCTTTCATTTTGAATTTCTTGCTTTTGTGGATTCAAGTCAGAACTTTATTTCCGTGGTGCCGGGTTTAGTGACTTTAGCACCATTCAAAAGAGAAAGAAAGAAAAAAAAAAAAAAAAATCCGCCCGCCCCGGGCTTTCGCACAGAGAGCCCCAAGGTGCTCGTAGTCACAAATATGTCTCAAATGAAATTTAGTTTTAGAGGGCATTCTTTTTTAAAAAGAAAGTTTCAGCAGTTTCTAAGTTTCAGGAAAAAAAAAAAAAAAGACAAGCATTTTACCAATGCTTACGGTTTCATAGAGGTCTGTGAATTATTTAGACACGCTATTAATTATTCTGCAAATATATATATTTCTATTTTTATAAAATTACAATTTCATATACCTACAAGCTCCTTCATGAGCAACAAAGCCATCAGAGGTGGGACGAGCCCAGCTAAGCTGTCCTTGGGAACTGAAAATGAGCTAAACTTTCATTTATTTATTTGTTACTGTTAATGATTCTATGATTCTATTCTGGGGAGACAGCCTGGTTAGAGAACCTGGGGTTTTTTTCCAAGTTTTAGCCCACATATTTCCCCCCCCCCCCCCCCCCTTTTTTTTTTTAAGGGGGTGTGAGGAAGGTGAACTTCCATCTAACTAGAAATATCTTTGTACAAATTAAGTTTTGTGCTGATTTAGATTTCTCCACGCTGAGCAGCCCTTCCCGCTGGCTCCAGCACGCCCCCAGCCCCCGGAGCCGCACGCTTGCCCGACGGCCCTCCCGCGCGGCAGAATGGGGCCAGGAGGCATCTGAGCAGCTTTGGGGCTGCTGGACGAGGTAACTGCTGGGAACCTCTGTGGCCGCGACAATAACTCTGTGACAGCCAGCCTACAAAAACTACCGCCTCCCACCCCTTCCCTGCCCAAGAGAAACAAAAGAATTACCTGCAATTTTTTTCCAAGCTGCCTTTTGTGTGTTAAAGAAGGTTTTGTGGTCACAATGCAACCCACCGATGGCCCTAGGAAGGTATGTACCAGGCGATCTCATACACACCGTTCCTGCTGTTCAGGTGTCACCCCAAGAATAATCATCGTGAGGGCAATTAGCTGTTGCAATTTGCTATGTTGCTGCTAAAAGCGTATCCACAGCAGCGGCTGGCCGAGCCCTGCCACGGTCACGCTTCTTCCAAAGGAAAAAAATAAAGTTTATTTCATAGTGGCTATAGCAGATACACTGACTTGTGCCAAACGCTGCCAGTCTCATTTCTCTACCCATGCATCCAGTGCTTATACTGACCTTTAGAAAATCGCTTGCTACGCTTTAGACTTTGCTGCAGCACATGGAAATTCAATTTGCTGAATAAATGGTCCACAGGCAAGTACTGCACGTTAAGGGACGCTGACAAGTTGGGTGTATGTTTGAGGAAAAATACTGGAAAGATGCCACTGATGCGAGGATATTTTTAATGCTGCACAAGATGTTGAGTCCTTTGTAACAATCTCCTGAAGCATGAATAATGATTTAATGGAATGAACAACCTTTTTATTTGAAAATAATGTCAAAACACTTAGAAAACTGTGAGCAAGACATGTAGCACCATATTTTCCTCACATGTTAATAACCAGATGCAGTACGTACAACGGTATACATGAACAGAGCTATTTATAAAAAAAAAACTCAGCTGGAAACAGATTCTAGCAGCAGCAGCAGATTAGAAATGACTACGAGTTTTTTTTTGAGTTATATATTATTTTTCTGCCTTTACAAAATATTGTAGTGTCCAATCAATAGTTGACTAAAATCCGTGTTGTGCTTTGTCCCTATTAAACAGTTTCTTTATGTGTTTCTGATGGAAAATAACAAAGTCTCTCTTTTTCAGTAATATGGAACATCCTGGAAAGCCATATTACTTCCATAAAAATTTAATTTAAAGCACAGAACATGCCGGTGTGCCAGTGGTAGGCTTAAAATATTAAAGATTTAAAAAAAAAAACAAAACAACCAACAAACCCCTAAGCATTTCCTTTCTGTACAATAATGGAGAATATATATCTTTGCTATATATTTTAAACATGGAATAGCTTTTTCTTTTTGCTATATATATGTCTTTCAAAATACATTGTCAGTATTTGTACTTGAAAAATACTGTACAAAACGAACATACTATAATTATTCTGTATAAACTTTATACATTTTATAATATCTATTCTTTTGGTCTATAGTAAACACTTAGATTGATTGGATTAACCACAGTATGTGACAACACCATCCCCTTCTGAAATACACCAGTGTCTCTTACATTCATTTTTCAGAAGTCCACTTTATCTTAGAACATACGTGTTCAAAAGCAAATAGAGAGTTCAAAACAAGAAAGTTCAGAACCATCAGTTCATGTCACACTCAAAACGACAATCACTAGGAAAAATGGGCTTTGCAAACCAGTGACTTCTTCTAACTGAATAAAAGTGATTTTTAAAACAGCAAGATATAATCCACAGAAAATATATTACAGAACATGGGAAAAAACAACTGAATTTAGGTATTTATTTAACTGTTAGTCACAAAATGGAACTTGAAGAAATGCATAACCAACTGAAAACCGAAAAGCCCCTCTGATTTTGACATCGGATCTGATTCGATACTATTAATTTTGTTCTCGTTCAACTAATTATCCTGCTTCTTATACATGCGCTCCCTACAGCAGGGGTACAATTAGCATGCTCACGTTAACGTGTCTTTTACTTTTTAACTTTTTGTTAAAGACATCAAAACTCCTGTTGGGTAGGGAAACCATCCTACGTCCACTAGGAACATCCGGGCAGCATGCGCGCTAGCGTACAATAGGATTATTGCTTCAGGTACAGACAGTGCAAAATACACACTCCGTGGTCTATCAGCAGTACTCCTACCTACCTGGGGTCCGTGGAAAGAAAAGGAACCTTAATAGCTACAGAGAAGCCATTATGGGATCTATAATGAGTATAGCTAACTCAGTCTAACAGCACTTTAAATCTGAAGACAATTATCACCAAAACTTAAAATACAACAAAAGCAATCTATAAATTAATATTTCTGCAGTGTAGTACTAAATTATTATTTGTGCACTTTATTAGCATGTTAACTTTTCTGATTAGACATACTTAAACAATAGCTTGTTACTCTCGAAAAAACTGAGATCTACTTTTTTTTCTTTTTTCTTTTTTTTTTTTTTCCTTTTTTTTTTATAATTTATACTGGGATCTTTCCAAGTAAATCAGGAGGATGGAACTGGTTACAATAACATAAAAACCCTACTCTGAAGCAGCACTGAAAAAATATAATAAAAAGCTTGCTATGGCGGTTCTCAACAGTCCAGGTAAAAATGTGGCACCCTTTGAAGAGGGCTTCATAAAAATGGGAAGTGCTGAGATGCGTGCGCACGCACCCGCGCGCACATGCACACACACACACACAAGCGCGCGCACACACATATACAGACGTGTGAACACACATGTGCACACATACGCAGGTACACGCATACGCAAACAAAAAAAAGTAACGCAAGTCAGTTTTGTTTCTGCTTCTGGTAAAGTGCTGAAGACAGAAAGGTTGGTTTGGGTGTGGTGCTATCAAACAGGAAACACATTGTCCATCTATTCAAACGCCAACCCGCAACAAAAAAAAAAAAAAAAAAAGAAAAAGAAAAAAAGAGACAAATCCTGGTCGTCTCCTGGAATTTACAGGGGGCCGTGTCGAGCTTCGTACTTTGCAAGGACGTTCTTGCATTTGCCCAGCTCTTTCCGTAGGTCGGCCACCTCTTGGCGGAGAGCCGAGTTCTCCTTCTCCAGAAACGAGGCGCGGATGGCGATCTGGTTCTCCTTCAGCCGGCGGGCATCCCTCGATCGCTTCGCAGCCATGTTGTTCTTTCTACGCCTTGCCCAGTATTTGTCATCCTGCTCATTAAACACAGAAAGAAACAAACGAGATATTAGATTTCAGTAAACTGAGCGGCCACCAGGATGTGCTCTTAGCCACAGCCTCCGGCCCAGGGATGACTTAACTCCACACGAGCACATTTTGCTTGCCTGGCCCAGCGAGCCCCAACAGTGCCAGGCACTGCTGGGACAAAAGTTACAGATTTACGTGGCGTAATCCATCCAAGGAGCACAGATGCTTGCCCATGTTTCTGTCAAAATGTTTACGCTAACTCCCTCCTGCTCTTCACTGTGAATTCCTCCAAGGAAAAATGAAGCGGTATTCCAGTGGTACAATTCATCTCACATCTACACTGACCTAGTTAGCACACCCACCTTCGCACGCTATGATTCACACTCTACCGGTTGCTGGAGCAGTGCTAATTACCTCTTGTATGTCCCTGCTCATCTTTGCCAGCCAACACCTGGTTCACTCTGTTTGTATCATCCATTTCGTCTATGGTTCAGCTCTTTTTCTCTGTTCAAAGCTTTCTCTACAGAGCCCCAAAGCGTTCCTGTTTGCACCCTAGAACAGCAAGTCACTAGAAGAGGATTCCTTGGCACAACAAGGATGGCTGCTTTGGTACCATCCACAAAGAGATTAGTACAATAGGCTTTGACTGTGGGAAAAAAAGCATTGGCCAGAAATAGGTCTGCTAACCTCTGAAGTTTCATAAGCTAACACTTCCCAAAGTGTTATCCCTAAAGACTTGCCTCCAGGAGATTGCCTCTGGTGCATCAATGGCTCTAAAGTCACGACTTAATTTCACCTGATTTTTCCACTCTTCAAACGAAGTGGCCTTCAGTGAAATGGCAGCTTCAACATTGCTTTGAAACTGAATTAGACTTACAGAAATTTCGAACAACTCAGTAAATACAAAGTAGGCAGAACCTCTCACGAAAAGTGAAATTCAGTCCGCTGCAGAGTAAGAGCGATGCAGCCATTCAACCCTCAAATTGCCTGGTCAAGTCATATAGCTCAAAACTTCCCCTCCCAGAGTCATCCCTCCCTTTTTATATGCTTACATTGCTTGTGTGGCCCTCTTGTTTCACCAAGCACGGTAGCACAGTTCCACACCCACTACAAGGACCAGGAGCCACCTGCTCTTATGTTGCCCTGAACGGACATATACCCCACCCCTCCTCTGTCTTTCAGCACGAAGCGTGCCAGGCCTAGTACCGCTGCTCTGCATCTTCTCCCGCTGCTTGCAAGAGCAAAACGACTGCTAGAAGTACTCTACAACTGCTTTATATTAGTTTAGCTTAACGAGGTGTGTAGCAATGACGATTTGGAGCCAGCATACCTCTAAATTGCTCTTCACCTGTACTTAGATGGGACCCCCAAAAATCCTCTTAAAAACAAGCATGCAGCAAAAAGCTATGACCCAAATCTTGTTTATAATTTCCCATCTCATTCCACTCTATAAAAATCAGCTTTAAGCAATTTATTAGTGTGCCACCTAGGCTTCATCCATCTTTATTTTAACAAATCGCTATGGCAAATCTCTTAATCCAGGCCAGAAAGAGGTAAGGCTGGCATTTCAAAATCACATGCAACCCAGAGACGATTGACTGGTCTAATCTGCTTACCCTCCCCCAGAACTCAACAGCCGTTCCACATGCCAGGGCAGAAGCAGCACTTGGGTCAAGCACTCTGAAATGAGTCAAGGGCAACTGCTGTGATTATCTCAGGGAAACGAGAGACCCTGAACTTCCAGTTCAGTCTTAGGCTGAAAACTTATGTGCCCCACTGCTGCATGCAAGAGACTGATATTTTCCACCTCTGGCATGAGGCAGTCCAAGGGCATCTTTGGCAAAAGTTGGCTTTGACAAGTAAGGACACCTAGGAGATATCACAAAGTGACAAATGGCACCAAGGGGTAAACTCCAGTCTCCTCACACCCGCACAGCCGATTCTGTATCGAACACCTCTCTTCAGGCAGACCTCGCAGCCCACTGCGACACCAACAGAGCATCATTGGTAGTAAAATTTGCCCAGGTAAGTAATGGCATGGTGCAGATAAACCTTTCTAAATGAAAGCTGAGGATACTACGTGCAAAGTGACAGCAATGAAACTGTCACCTGAACACTACCGGAATTGTGATTTCTGTGCTTTTAACTTGCACAACATTATCCTTAGAGATAAAAATAGTGAATAGCGTCAGCTACTCTCCCTAATGCTATCAATCTGGTGTAAACACATGGCATCCCAGTCTCTTCGCACGCACAGCCAGAGATTCTCACCAACTCCAACAGGCTTTCAGTCTGTGTTCTGGGGGGCAACGGCAACAGTAGAATGAAATTCTGCACTGACTGCCTCTGATAAAAAAAGGTCCTCTTGGAAATCGCATACTGGGGATAGAATTTTGCAAATAATGACAATTTTCACAGTTCTTTGATAAGCTGAATCAGTTGATCAATTTGTTCTGCTCTCTTCATATCTCAGAAGCAGTGAGAGGCATAGACAAGGGTGCTCTTTCTTTTCAAACACTGTATTATTATTATAATCTCTTTTAAATATTGTATTAAAATAGAATTCTCGGCAGAATAATTTTGTTCGGTTTTCCTACAACTAGTTTAGATTCTTTCACCTCGATTAGCAGTGTTTACTATAGTGTTCCCATTCATTATTAAACACAGCGCTAAAGCAACTTCCAAACAAGACACAATATACTTCATTTTGTCATTATCAGGGACCTCCATGGACCCTGGAAGAGATGGGTTCTTCCTCGAAAAATTCACAGTCTGTGCTGATGAGACAGGCAGAGGATGGATGAAAAGGAAACATGATCAGACTGTTTCATAAGTGGGAAATATGGGACAAAGTAAGCTTGTCCAAGGTCACGCAGGAAGTTTCTGGCATACAAAGGAAATGAATATTGATCTCATGAATTTCAACTGTTGCATAACTGATAAGGGACATCCTCCCCTCAGTCTTTTTCAGAACCGTTAACAGTCTTATTCTACAACAAAGTTGTATTTAGATTGGCAGATTTACCTTACATGAGAAAACAGATTCATGCTCCAAACCTATATCCCAGAGTAACTGTCACAGAGTCTGTACGAACAACCTCGTCACCAGTTCCAATTTACCTTCAGGTCATCTGGAATGAAGACTTTGCGAGCTTTCTTAATCATCGGCTGTGGTTTCAGCTCTTCTTCAGAGAATTTGCGCTTACGAGGGTCAAACATCTCCTGGCCAGGAATACTGGAAAGAGCAAGATCTGCAGGGTCAGGTTCGTAGCCAACAGGAACTTGGATAGTCTCAGGATCAATGGGACTTGGTGTGTTTCGGTTTGCTGGCAGGATCTGACCTACAGAAGTAAGGGATAAATTCAGCTATGTTAGAAGAAAATATGTAAATAATATTCCTGAACATGGATTTTAGAAGATCTCCAAACACTTTACAAGCAATAATTCTTTACACTTTCACTGTAAACTTGGTATCTACTCTTGCTAAATATTAGATTGCCCATTTTGTAGGGTGCATATTCAGATCTGGACATGCTCATGCCATTATTTTCAGAATTGGTTCCTAATTCTGGTTGCTAATCTTGGATGCCCACATAAGATCACTGACTCCAACACTGAGTTGCACTAGACTGCAGGCAGAAGACATATTGCTCCAACCCGTGCCATTTCATTAAGATCACATCCTCAGGAACAAATCGTAAGTACTGTCATTTAGCTCCGATTTATCCACCATACTGTAATCCTTCCCAATTTTCTCATACACGGACTTCTTCATCTACACCTTTGAGGGTACGTTTAGTTTACAATCAAACAACGCACAGTACTTGCAATAGGATACCACCTCATGAAAATGTACTTTCAAGCTGTGCCGATGCACTCCACTAAGGAGACTGCTATTTTCTACGACATCCTACCGGTCATACTCTAAAAGACAGTGAAGAAAACTAGCAACGTGAAAGGCTACAATGACTACTTAAAGATACTCTGCAAAAATCAAAGAACACTTACTCATGCCACATTGCTCTTCTATGGTATATAAAATCTAATAAAAAGGAGCCTACCCCCAGAAAAGAATGATATCCCCCCCATTTTTCTTTTTTTAATCTTAGATATAGCCTTCAAGATCCCAGAGCACGAGTTCAGGCACCATTCCCACTAAAAATCCAATTTAAAATCTCAACCAAAGGTTCCAAAAATAGGATCCTAAAGCCAGCTGCCTAAACACGGACTGTCCCCGGGGGCAGAATTTTCAGAAGTTTTCACATGCCTCAGAAGTACAAGCCTCACAGACTTCAGAGGGAGGACTTCTGATTGAAGCAGATATCCTTTTATAATTTTGGCTATTAGCTAATTCACTTTGACTTTAGAGATACAATGGCTTTCATAATAACTACACAAACATCCTGTGACTGCATAATATTTCCTTATTTGTGCCCGCATCTGTAATATTTAGGGTGTAAAATGGTAAACATTAAGTGTCATTTCTAATTCCAAACCAAGGCCAGTGGTGACAATGTAGTTTTTATTTTAATCTAGAAGATCACGGCAACAATATTGGAACTGCACAGGAAACGCACGGGGAAATTGCACTGTGCAAACCAGGGCTTGCTAACAGAGAGCTTGTCTTTTGTAACTCATATTTTAAAACAGCACTGATAAAATCAGCTTCCAGGAAAGGCTAGTAAGGGCCTGGGAGAAGAGAAAAGGAGGATCAAAGTTATTAGATATACATCTATAGGAGAGCGAGCGAGAGGAAAGGATCCCGCTACCCGTGTTGTACCAACAGCAGAGCGCTTCCTCCTCCGCCCGCCGACCCGGCACACCGCTGGCAAGACCTCAGTGCTAAAAACTTGACGTTTCCTGCTGTGCCTCATCAGTAAAATCAGAAACCGCGGCTTGCCCGACTGCCACAGGGCCTGCGGCACGGGACGGGACGGCTGTGTTCCTCAGCCCACGCCCCGCATGCTCCAGCAAGCGGAGCGAAAAGGAATTACAGGGAAAGGCTACGGGAAAGGATACCGCCTGCTCGACTTCGTTTGCATGGCGGGTCTTCACAAGCAGGCACTTCAGCTCTCCCTGGAGATAGCTGCGATTAATGCATGTGTGTTTAGAACATTTTGATGTCTGTAAAGGTGGTGGTGGGGAAACCCAGGCTAGTGACTGTTTTAAAGCCAGCCCAAACGGCTCAATGCACCAAGGCATTCTTGCAGCCTTGCTTTAAATGGATGGCTAATCTCATTTCAGATATATGGGCTGGCAGAAACAGGCTTATTTAAAGGATTAAATGCAGGAAAGCTTCCTTTGATGTGAGTATGCTTGTACCAGAGCAGACAAATATATATAGACATACGCATGTACAAATCTCGCAAATTCTGTAATACAGATAAAAATGAAGCAAGACACCAGCTCTGAATACTTTCATTATATTTCTGGTGAGCATGCAGGGTGTTTCTAAAAGTCAACTGGATTGTGAAATCTGCCCCAGCTTTCTAATTGCCCTAAACAAAAGAGCCCGTATTTAAATATTGCTGAAGTTCTAGATACACGGTATCCGTTTACATATTACCATTTATCTATAATATGCCATATTGCACAATTACATGAGCTTTGTAATCATTGGCCTCAAGAAATTTTACAATCTCTCTGAAAAAATAAAGGGCAAAAATGCTCCTTTTAAACACGGGAAATTGAGGTATTGCATCCTACCAATGCAACAGCAAAATAAAGCAAAGAGCGATGCATCTCCAAGGTGATCTGAGAGAAGAACCTACAGCAATCAAGATCTTGCCTTGTTTCCCACATGCACACATTTCACTTCCCCCGGACTAAGAAGCTCTCACTGCTAAAGACCTAGTCCTTCAGCAAACGTAAGATGTCCCAGGTGCCAATGTGAAGCTCATTCAAGGTGAACGCTATTCACTAATGCGAAGCCTGAACAAATCATGCACACAGCTAAACATTATCACCTAGGAGCCTGAAGACTATTGCCCTGTAAGATATTCCTACACACACACTGCACGCACACCTCTATCAGTCTATGCGGGCTGACTCTCCGTTCTCTCCATCACGCTCCTGTAAACGATCAGGAACTCCACTGAGAACAACAGAGTTAATAAGGGTGTCTAAAACGCCAGGCAGAAAAAACAGTATTTCCTTGTCCAGCATTTTACATTAGGCAATTCCTGGCACTTGGTATCTTTTTATTTATTCTATCAAGTTTTGCCAATAATACAAGCCAGGAACCTGTCTTTATTAGTTTACTGGTCTATGTGGTGCTGGAACTCATTGTAACCCAAGACGACAGTGTGGGCTGTGCTGGACTTGGCACTGCTATTACTGCAGGAGTACAGTACATGGCCTCACGTTACATTGCTCCCCAAACTCCTCTCCCCGTGTGTGCACGGCACTGTAGCTGTGCATCCTTCTGCCAAATTTGTTCAGGGTGTTATTTTTATGCACTAAATTCCTCGCAATCAGAGGTAGGTCAAATAAGCACAGCAATCTGAACGTCATGTGCCCAGCAGCCGACTAATCCTCACATCAGCAAGCTTCACAGCTGTCACAACATCCAGAGAAAGAGCTGGTCGGAGGCTGTGATGCACAAGGAATCAGCCAAGGAGGAAGCCTACAGTACCAGCCGCCAAGGCCGGGTGAAGGTAAAGCACCTCGCTGCTCAGCATTGGGAACCAGATGCCTTTGTTGCCAGTCTCTGTGTTATTTAAACACTCTGCGCTCACAACAGCGGCCAAATTTTCACAACAGTGAAGTGGCTGGACTGTTTAATGTGCTTAGCTTTGTTCTCAATGGGGGCTGACGATTGCCAAGTGTTTTGGAAAGAACTTAGCCCCTCTATTTAAGTTGCTGAAAGGAGAGCTCTTGAGCATTAAGCTCTTTTGGAAATCCAGCTGCAGAACTCCACAGTGGTGGTGGATGCAAGCTGGGAACAATGGTTAATGGAAACTTCCCCTCATACCACCCTAGTGATGTGTCTCAACCATGGCCTGGAGAGACCACAACTATGTCAACACTGGTCTTTTGTCTGGAGACTTTCCCACTTGTAGAGCTCCACTCAAGCAACACTGAGTATGCCAGGACAGACACAGCTCCAGGTGTCTCCTGGCAAAGGAATCAGCGGGTTCTGACAACCCCAGCAGTTACGGCTGCCCCAACATCTTGCCTTCACTAATGCTCTTGGTGTTGCTCTGGCAGATATTAGCAATAGCAAAAAATTTTCCAGAAAGAAGGACTTGAAAAAAAGTTGGCTGTTCTAACCCTTTCAGTCCTCCTCCTCCCAGCAGAGACTGCCAGTGAGGAAGTCCAACGTAATGGCAATATTTTCAGTGTGGTTCCTTGTTCAAAGAGAAATGGACTGAGGCCATTCACTTGTGTCATCTAGGTCAGCGAAGGGCTGGTAAAAAAAGTAGTGGTTTTTAATTGCTTGCAATAATTAAAATGCACAATTCAACAGTATAGTAGCATACAAAAACAAAATGCTGATCTGGTATCGTGGGGAGCTCAATCACCGTATCCTGACTCTTAATTTCCCCCTTTTGAAACATCCCACCTACCAGCTGTGCCCAGGAGAGTTAAGACGGAAATAACCTCTTCAACTGCACCGCTGCTTGACAGACTTCTTATTTGTATTGCGAGAGATCCCCGGTGAATTATGTGGAACTCAATTTTGAATCATTCAACTCCCATAGAAATGTGCCTGATTTTCAGAAAAATCTCCCTTCTCACAGCCCTTCCACACTTCTCATCAGTTCAACAGCTGGCTGGAGAACAGCGACGAGAAAAAGAAAAGAAAAGGGAGTGGAAATGTTCTAATCAAAATATTTTTCCCTATTTTTTACACATATGTTGGAGGGAAAGAAAAGAGAAATTTCTTATTCGGTTTATTAGCAGCCCAGAGATAAAGTATGTATTTGCTAATAATTTTTCTTTATATAAGCTAAAGGCACTTTGGGTACGTCAGTCAGACTATAAAGTACAGCAGTTAAATTGACAGATAATCCTCACCCAGAGCTGCACCAGAGAACCCCATTGCTCTGCCGATATGTTTTCCAAATCGTCTATCCGCTTGGCAGCCGGCCAGCTATTTGGGATAGTTCTCTTACTCCAAATCACAGCCTGTCCCAGACTAATCTGTCATCTATTTCTGCATTAACTCCTTCAGCCTCTAGGAAAAGTTATCTCAATGCAGAACATAAGGCAGTGTGCAGGAATCCAGACAGGCAAAAATCCCCACAGGCAGTAAAGTAAAAGGAATATTCTGGAGGCCAAGATTTATCTAAGGACAGTATCTTGTCAGGTTATAAATCCTCAGTTACAATACTATAAG